TATTTATTTATTATTATTATTAAAATTAAGTTAAATAAATAAAATAATATTGACACCAAAAGTAAATTAATAAAAAACGGTAACAATGAATATAAAAACTAAAGGTCACACTGCTAGCAAATATTAATAAGAAAATACAATTAAATAAACCAAATAATATAATATTATATTATTTTCAAATTACTTTAATTTGTTAATTTAGATTATATTTCATATACTGAGCATTCTACCTTTCCTTATCGTTTAAATTTTTAGCCCAAGGGCTGTAGTAAAAAGTTTGTTTCCATATAGTCGTGTGACCCCTTGTTTAGTGGTAATTTTGACCTAAAGGGCCTTAGGAAAAAGTTTGTGTAAACGATAGTTTGGTAGTAATCCCTACTTCATGGGAAAGGGAGCGAAACGCCAGATCCCACAGGGGGACCCGGAGGTCGAGGATGGCCCTTCTGACCCCCAACCCGCCTCCGAAGCCCGTGTGGCTGGATTTATCTGCTTAGAATTATATGAACAGCTGGGTATGACCCGTACTCGAGTAGACAAAAGAAAACGGCTCATTAAGTTCTTTAGTTCCGGAAGTTGACAGTTGACCTCGATGACCCTTTTAACTTCCCGACAGTTACCTCCACGCGTAATGTCAAATCCCAGGCTTCGGTTTATACCTCAGCCCCGGGACCCGCTACCTTAACGGTACCGACATTGGCAGCTCCAACCTTAATAACATCCTGCCCGATATCTCCGCACCCGCTACCAATACCAAACATACACGAGGGCGCAAGTGCCTCTCTAGCTCTAGCTACTATAAAGGTGCATAAGTGGAAAATCTCTTTTAAGGGTAAAGGAGACCCGGTAGCGTTCCTTGAAGGAGAAGCGGGCAAGTGGTTCCGTAATAACAAAAGGTTCTGGAACAATTGGAAAGATTTTGTTACCGATTTTAACCCGTAACCGGTACGGTACGATTTTCAGGACATAAACGCTACTAAGGGGTCTGAGAGACACCTACCTTTTAAAATTGTTATTTATATTATTTTTTTTATCTGAGGTTTTGGGGATACTAGGGACTATATATAAAGTTAGAATATCACCAAAAATAATACCTAAATAAAAGAAAAATTTAAACAAATAGGTTTTAATCAAAACATGTACAAAAAGTGCAGTAGTGCAAACTTTGTGATTAAACTATAAAAAATATAAAATATAACATAAACAAAAAAAATTCTAATATATCTTTTTTTATCAGCAAAAATAACTGCTTCAAACTATAGCTAATTTTTACAAATATTTTTTCCATAGTAACTTTTTTCTTTTTTTTCAAATTCTTAAAAAATTTCAAATTCTTTATTATATGACCCTATAAAATTATTTTCTATAGAATCTTCACAGACAAGTCCTGAATCGCTGCAGTGATTATCTTCAACGACATAATCACTATAATGGTTATGTAGTATACTACAGTCATCTATAGATGCTTATGCACTTATATCGCTGTAGATTTCATAAAACCACTATAGTACAGTTTCCTTGAAGCCCTTCTTATCACTTTGGACACGTTTAGAAGGCCCTTGTTGCGAATCCATAACGAATTAATTGTTTTATAAAAATAACGTAAACGGTACGCAGTGGTCTAATAGACACCTCAACACTTTAACTCCTAATAATTTGTCCGTTTGACAATCCAACCTGTTCAAAGTCTAAGAGCTTATTAATAACTGCCTAACTTAAAAGTATTGGAAGCGACAGATTTTTAAAACAAAAGGTGAGGGTGTGACAGCGCTTTGTTCGTTGATAAGTGTCTCCCAGACACCACAGTACCGGTTACGGGTTAAGGTACATTATTATTTATATTATTATATCCTCGTATATTACCGATCTACAAACTCTGATTCGTCGTCACGGCGCAATTTCCGCTCCAATGGTTATACCTAAATCTGGCACCGGTGTTTCGATTGCATGTGCATCGTTTAGAGTGCATAGATCTCCCGTCCTTTACCGAAGCCGTAAAAGGCTACGAAACGTTGCGTAGGGAGTTGGGCCGATCACTCGGCAGCACTAATAGAGTTGCCCCGAGAGAAAACGTGGTAATCTCCCAGCCCACCTGCTATGTGGCTACGCACCCGCGGCTACAGCAGCCCGTCCCGATACCGGGTAGTTATCCAATAACATTAATGTTGGGCACCCACCCCGTTTCTGGAATATTCGGGCACTTGCCCAAATTATCCTCCGATTTGTTGATTGGAATGGATTTTTTGAGAAAGCATAAAGTAACCCTTGATTTAGTTAACCGTACGCTGGTGATGAGTTTCCTTGACCAAATTTCGGTTATATTACTGTACCAATCCATCGTAAAAACCGACATCCCTAAGAATGTTCTGGTGCTGACGGACCGAGAGAAAGCCCAGCTTCACGACTGTCTTAATGCCGAACTCCCGGCATTTGAGCAAATCAAAGGAACCACCTGATTAATCAGCCACAAAATCCGATTAATTTATCCCGAGCCGATAAAACAACGTTATCGCCCGCAAAATCCCCGCATGCAAGAGATTATCAACTCTGAAGTTGATAAAATGCTTGCGGATATCATAATAGAACATCCAACATCCCGTGGAGCTCTTCCGTAGTAATAGTCCTTAAAAAGGACAGAAAACCCCGTTTTTGTATTGATTTTCAAAAAGTCAATGCCGTAACCCGTAAGGACACATACCCACTCCCGTTTATAAATGCAATCTTGGATAAATTGCCAACAGCCCGTTACATTTCCAGTCTGGACTTAAACAAGGCCGGATAAAGTAAACTCTATCCGTGAACTTCACGCCCCGACTAATATCCGTGGCCTGCGCAGATTTTTATGGATGGCCTCGTGGTATAGGCGTTTTGTCCCGTCCTTTTCTCAGAGCGCTGAACTACTAAACCGTCTGTTGAAAAAAGGACACCGGTGGGAATGGACGACTGAACAAGACAAAGCGTTTGAACTCTTGAAAAGCAGTCTAACCTCCGCCCCCAGTACTAGCATGTCCCGATTTCTCGAAACCGTTTGTGTTACAAACTGACGTCTTCGATGAGGGACTAGGAGTAGCATTGACACAGAACTTGATGAAGATCATGTGATCGCATACGCCAGCCGTATGAAAAGGCATACACCGTAACAGAAAAAGAGTGTGTCGCCATTGTTTAGGGTATTGACAAAATGCGCCCTTACTTGGAAGGTTATCATTTTACTGTAATTACCGATTATCAAAGTCTGCAGTGACTGCACGCCATCAAAAGCAATACGACTTTAAGATCAAATATCGAAAAGGTATACTTAATCGAATTGCCGACGCTCTTTCTCGAGACCCGCTTTCTTCAGCAAACCCGGTTGCACTCCCCGATTATTGTATCCCGGATAACCGCTTATACCGACATTTCTGGACCTCTGGAGACCTGACAGAGCCCGAAATGTCTGATCAGTGGAAACTGTGTGTTCCAAAAGAGACACGAGTGAGTGTTCTTGAGAAAAATCACGACCCCCCGACTGCCGGACATATAGGAATTGCGAAAACCATCGCCCGTTACTACTGGCCAGGTATATTTCGCGACTTTGCCACATATGTTCGACGATGTTCGTCATATCATTTGAAATAATTGTAACGCTAATAATTATTTCTAATTTGCTATTAATATAACCTATGATAATAACACGCAAAGCAGACTCAGTATGCGGCACAGAGCACAGAACGATATGCGCAGACAACGCATAGCGGAAAGGTGCGGGTAGAAACAATTCATATGAGTTCACGGCCTCGTTGGAACAGGAGGGTATTCAGGAAAATTTAAATTTAATAAATCGAACTACAAACAATTAAATTATAATATTATTTATTTATTTAATTTCATGCCTCAATTTTTTTAACATGTGCGTAATATGTTTTTTGCTTACGCATGTCGAAGCAAAAATGTTATGATAATTAAATTTTGTTAATTTTAACAAATTAAATAAACCATAATAATATAGTAAATTAGGAACTGTGATTTTTTATTTAATTTTCACAAAAGCGGGGACGAGACGAAATACTGTTGTTTTGGAGATGATTATTTCCCTCAATATAATATGAACCAATCAAAAGCCTTGAATTTTCGAATAAATTTCGTTTAAATAAGCGATTAAATCACTAGACCTTTTTAACAGCGATTAAATTTTAGCCTCCATATTGGATTTTTGTTTACGATTTTATGGTGTTATTTACAAGTTTTAACAAACATTTTTTAAAAAACAATAAAAACTAAGTTATCTAGTTCACGAAATATCAATTATTACTTATTACATACCTTAAATTAGGTAATGGAATTTTCTTTAAAAAAATATTTATAAACTTTGACACATACGTCAGATCTATACGTCAGATTTTATGAATGGTCAAATAGTTTCCTTTAATTCGAGAAATAATCTAGACGTATATCACTCAACCTATAAATTTAATCTGTCAAACTATGCTCAGTAAGTTTTTTATTTGATTTTTCTTTTTGGAAAATAGTTTCATGCAAAATAATTAAAAATAAAACCCCTCGACCGCTACACGGTCACGTGATTTTATTAAATTATTTTGCATTCAACATTTTCCAACAAAAACCAAACAAAAAACTACTGAGCCTAGTTTACCCGATTAAATTCATAGTTCTCGTGATATAATATATGATTAATGTAGATAAATCATTTGACCCTAATAAAAAATCTTAAAATTCATAAGTAATTCTAAAAATAGTTTACCGTAAAAAGTTAGTATATTATTATTTTTGTATTATTTCTTAACTAATACATTACTAATTAGAATTTATAGATATTAAGTAAATCGCACAAATGTCCTGCTAGATATGCCGTAAATGTTTTTGAAAACGGTAATTTGGTAATCTTTTGTAGTCCAAAGATAATATAAATAAAATTTAAAATTATTTTTTGTTTGGCAAGACAGAGTTATTAGTAAAAAATGGATTAATTGCGTTTTGTTTGGTTACTTCTAAATTAGTATTACCTATATGCAGTTTCCGGCCTAAACATTTTTGTGTTATAGCAACAAAAACCAAAACAAAACCTAAAAGCACGCGGCCGAAGTGAAGGGCAGTCATCTCGAACACCTCACATACACCACAAACGACACATTTCACACAGTATCCCGTAACTGGTTCCCGTCTGTTATTTATAAAACAAATTTAATTTAATTGAATTTCTACGAAAACAAAATGCACTCGACAAACGGCAATTTATCGGGCTGTTGTGTTATCGCAATTATTGGACGATGATTTCGGCATGTGAAGCACCAACTCTCCAGTCACTCACGGGACGAAACGAATTGAAGCGCGCTGACTCTTCATACTCTGTTACGGCCGTGGCGGATCTATTTTTAAATGTTTAATTTTGGTGCGTTTACAAATTTAAACATTTACAATTTATAGATTTCAAAGCAATAAAATGGTGCGTGTAATATTTACCTACTTTTTTGTATTTTTTTCATTATACTATGTACATTACCAACGTGATAAAAATGTAAATTTCATTAAAAATTAAATTCATAAAATAAATAATAAAAATTTAAAATCGTATAAAATCTGTAATATTTGGATTTGGATTTTTTAAATAAAATTTTAAATTTATCGATAAATTATAGTAGATTATAAATTTCACCACTTTAATTTGATCTCAAATAGGGGGGCCAGGAGACGGGTGAGGCACGAAAAACTAACTTTTTTTCGCAAATTTCAATTTAAATTCTGTTTGCCCCGAACTTGCCTATTTAATGTCATTTTAAAGTATTATAAATTTGGTGTGGGTCCCATTTCTAATAACTGAGATATTGCTATACCCAAAGTCCATCAGCCGCCACTGTTAAATTAAAGTTCATTTTTTTATCTGGACTCGTGTTTTTTTGTTAGGTTGGTGGCTTATGCCAGTTTGACTTAGTATTATAGTATTTATAATGGTACTTCTGCTAAATAATTTAATTAAATACTTTGACACTGTCAAATTAACAATACTATTTGCTATTGATAATTTACTTGTCAATTATAAATAAAAATATAAAAAAATTGATGTGAGGAAAATATTATGCGAGCGGAGTTATGTGGTGCGGGCAAAAATTACTTTTTTAAGAAAATATTTGCAACTTTTAAATTCAGGAGAGAATGTAAGTTTTATTTTTTTGAATGATAAAACTATGAATAGTGATATATTTTTTGATTGGTTTCAAAACAAATTAGTTCCGGATTTAATTAATATTAATGGAAAATGTGTTATTGTAATGGATAATGCTCCTTGCCATTCGGTTCTTTTGGAAAAGCCAATTTCAAAATCTGCGAACAAACCAATTATTTCGGCCTTTAGAAAAACACGGCATTTCTTTTGACCCTAAATTTAAAAAAAACAATCTTTGGAAACTGGCGGAACCTTTGATTTTAAAAACAGAAAAAAAAATATGTCGACGAATTTCTAAAATCTAAAGGTTTTGAAACTCTTCGGCTACCCCCATACCATTGTCAATATAACCCCATTGAAATGGTGTGGGGTTTTTGTAAAACATATTATAATAAAAATATTAATGATTTAAAATTTTTCAGTCCAGATAAAGTAAAAACAGTTTGGCAAGAATCTTTATCAAAATTCACCGTTGAAATGTGGGAAAAGGTAGTTAATCACACAGAAAAATTAATTTTGGAAGACTGGAGAAAAAACATGGGTAACATGGATTTTCGCAATGTTCCACCATTAATTATATCGTTTGAAAATGAGTCTGATTCTGAGGATGAGTTAAATCTTCTCTTTGATGATGACTCATTTTCAAACGATATGATTATAGAGGATGAACAGTCTTCAGATTAATTTATTTGTGTGATTAGATTTGAAATATCAAATCGAGTTTTTGGTTTAAGATATATATCGATTTATTTTCATGAAATATGGTAAATGCACACGGGTGTTTGGAGGCATGGTTGTAATATTTATTGAAAATTTGCGTTTTGAGGTGGAAACGATTTTTTTCTTCAAAATTTGCGATTAGTGTATTTTTTTTTTAAATTTGCGTTTCAAGGTATTGTTTTTTAATATTTGCACTTGGCCCAAGTGCCTTGGGTATGGGAGGGATATTTTTTTTTAATTTGAGTTTGGGATGTATGAAAAGTTTTTCAAAATTTGTGGTTAATATTGAAGATTTTTTAATTTGAGCTTTTGGGGTTTTATTTTATTATTCATTTAGATGTGGAAGAGATAATTTTTCAAAATTAGCGGGTTTTGGTTGTCTTGAAAATTCGCGTCTAGGAGTGATGAATCCATTAATATTCCTAGATGCAATAGACTAAGCAAAGCTACATAAATCAAGTGGTTACAACCATCTATAACCAGTGAGATTCAAAAAGGCTTAAAAGATAAAAGATAAGAGTACATTGAATCATAGAATTTTTTTATTGGAGAAACTAATTAAAATCTTAAATGTTAAGACTGACTCATCAAAATCTAAGGATTGTATGAAGATTTTTTTAAAGAAATCGCTATGGTAGGTATATATTTTCTTAATGATGTTAACATGAAAATAAAAGTTATTTCGGGCGAACGATTTTTATTTATTTTTTTAAGTAAAGAAAACTACCAAAGTAAGTATTTAAAAAGAAAATGCATAAATATTCATAAATTGATTAAGTAATGACTGTTGCAAGCAATGATATCAATAAAAAAATAACCACCTATTTGTAAAAAAAATATTTGCTGTTAGGTTCAACCTTTTTTAAGGATGCAAGCCCAAATTGAACCGTAAAATACACCATGTTGTTGTGGCAGACAGTCTCAACTGTTGAGAACGTCTTGGAATTAATAAATTAGGGTCTTTATCAACACTTGCCCGAACGGCAGCAACATTCTCTTCACTTTGACCGGAACATTATCTCACTGGCATGCGAAGAAAGATTGCGTTCAAAGTTTTCCACTGTTTGACGAATTTCGAGCACACTAGGCCGATTATGACAACCATAATTTGGAAGTGCACGATAAGCAATATAAGAACGATTATTTTGATAAAAAAATTGGATTATTTTCAAACGTTGTTGAGGAGTGTATCTTCCCATGATTAAATTTCACACCTTACTTAATATAACTGAGAGTGACAGAAGATTTTGACATTTCAAATACGGCCACACTCTCGATTTAAAAACATATTACTCCTATTGAAAAACCCTTTATAATATATATAGGTAATATTATATATAATTATTTCTCATTAATACTATAGGTATATGTAAAATAACTATATATTTTGAAATTAGTTTAAAGTCTAATGAAACAAAATGCAATAATGCTTTAAAACTCATAATATTCTAATGGTATATGATGTACAGTTTGATAAAATTTAAGTCACGAAATTTAACTAGGCACGAGCTTCTGAGCGAGTGTTTAATAAAAATAAGTGTCTATAGAAAAGTTTATAAACGAGTACTATATTTTTTTACGACAAACATTTTTATAAAAAATAATGTTTTATTAATCAATTAAAGTATTAGTATAGAACGACATGTCAGTATGTTAAATTTTCTTTCAAAAATTGAAATTTCTTTTTGAAAATTTCACCGTGAAAGTAAATAAGAGTAGGTAGAGTATTATGAGTACTCCACCTGAAATTAATAAAGCTGTAATAAAGTACGAAAACTTTTATTTTGCTGCCGGCGAAGTCAAAAGGTCAGTACAGACGTGCATATAAACTTTTTTAAGATTGGCGTCAAGAAACTTTTTAATAATTTTGTACTTTTTTATTGAGATAATATGATAATTTCCACTTTAATATTATTTTACAAGAAGGACACATTAACATTATTTTAACGATTGTATGACATTTGACAGTTCTTAACTAACTTAGCCTATGACTAAAAAGCCCGAAAGCCAGTGCTGATAACTTTAGCCTATGACTAAATCGCCATAAAGTCACGGCTCTGTAAATGTGTGTAAGGTTTCAGGTCCCTATGATGGTCCCTCTCTAGGTCACACAAACTCTTTTGAACTCACTTCCCTCATTCACTCCTAGCTCCACCTCCTTATCACGGTCCTCTTCCTGAATTCCAGGAATGTGTTTGGGGTACAGCCCTTTAGGGTGCAGTGGGGTTTTGTCTCCCTTTCCGCACATCCTGCAACTATGATCCGCGTCGTGTTCCATTTTTGAAAGGTGGTAGCTTAGGGCCTTATGTCCCATTATCACCTCAACATAGAGTCCGATTTTCCTCCTACTCAATTTTAGAGTCCAGCTCACCAGGTCCCTTCTACACTCTTAGAAAAGACCTGGTATTTGTAACTAACTTATTATCGTTGGGGTAAAACTGTTGCAGAAAATAAAATTTTTTGTTTTTTGTAATCAGTACCTTTATATGTGTAACTGCTTGCATCATTACCTGAAAAGATTTAGTTTTGTTGTTGAGTATTATTTACTGCAAAAAGGCGATTAAGTTATTTTAACTGAAACTTTGTGTTGGCTAGAAGTATTGACAACATTATCTCAAAAAAATCATTTCGGCGGTAAAATGTTTTTGTTGGACCAAATATTTAAGTAACATTCTCAACTGACTGAAATTAGTCCGTGGAACTAACGGTTCGGTTGTATAAACTATGCGTCACTTTTCACACAGCTAAGACACCAGCGGTGTGAAACAAAGTGTCAGTTGGGGATGTTGTCTCTGTAGGTTAATGCAACTGCAAACTTTGTGCATTTCGCGCGCGATTTGTCCAGCCCGGCGCGTGCTTTACTTTTAAACTGTAAACAAACGGTGTTGCACGGCGTCCAGACTTCGGTGGTGTTTGTTCTTTTGTATTTGTGTATCAGCTCGTGTGTAGTGTATATTTTAGGTAAGAAACTAGTTTATTAGTCATTTGCCCCTGTAAATTCAGTGGCGACATACTTTTTAACTATTCATATATACGAGTATAAGAATATATTCTTATGTGTTGGTTACTTATAGATATCTCGAACAAATAATATGGATGAGCGGACTGAAGTAGCAGATTTATTAGGAACATGGGGTTTACCTGAATTGGTTCCAGTTTTTAAAGGTTAGGTATTATTTGCACTCCTTTAATTACACTATTGTAGTTTTGGGGTCCGAAAAAAAATGCAAAAATGTTAAAATGCCATTTCGACTGAAAATGGCCTCCTGAATCCAATGGTGCCCACCAAAAGTCTCCATCACGTCGGAATTTCGAGAATTTTTTTGTTTTGTTTTGTTAAAGCTCAAGTCGCATTTTTGGTATAGGGCCTATACTATAGGCACTCACACTCAAAATTTATCGAATGCTTACCCCTGTTATCATGCAAGTATGTTACGTTGTACCTAAGAATCATTGTTAAGTTGTTAAACAAAGGCTTGCACTTCACGTAAACATCACGGTTTACTGAAGAAGTATACTTCTTCAGTAAACCGTGATGTTTATATATAGTCAACTTTCATCTTAATGTACCTATCTGTGTATATTTACCAAAGAACCGTTTTTGTTTTATTGTTAAAATATTTATAAATGTTTTCTTAGAGTAATTATTAATTTTTGTTATAATGTTTAAACCAAAATTTGGTGTTTTCAGTTATATTGTTATTTTTTAATTTATAATAAATATTTATAAAACGAACGGGCATGAATTTCCTTTCTCTATTTTTTATAATATTTACACAAAAAGTGTTATATTTACTAAGCAGGTATGTACTGTGGAATAATACCAATTTGTTGTTGCTACTAATGCAAGCATTTAATATTAAATATAACTTAGTTACAGTACAAAACAAATTTATATTATATTAACTATTAAATTCTTTAAATGTACCTTTTTTCATGTAATTTCAATTAAAAAATAAATTCCTGCATGATACAATGTTTGTTGCGATAAATAGCAAGTGCAGTTGTTACAACTTAGACGCTGCTAAAATGACAGACTAATGTGATTGCATTAAATATCAATTATTTGTATGAAAAAAAAACTAATTTCGATGCACTTAAACTTGTTGGTTGGAGCTACCAATATTGGCTGTTCCGACAACAAACTTTAAAAACAAATTTGTATTAGTTCCCACAACATATTTTTTTGTTGTGCCTATTTTCACTAATAAAATTGGTTCTGGGAACTAAATTTTCATTGCAAATACCAGGTCTTTTCTAAGAGTGTAGGTTTATCCACCAGAAAGGCCCTGGCATGCCGGTCCCCCATACTTGGTCCAGAATTTTTACGAAGATAACCCCGACTTTATCTCTCCTGGGTCAAATAAGTCACTAACATAAAATCTTTTATTAAACAGATCTACACACCACCAAAGTCAAAGTAAAACTCGTATTACTCCCAACTTAAGTTACTACTGACAGCCTTACGTTCAATGAGCGTGCGAGGTACGGACAGGGAGTGGAAGCTACCCCCCTAGCAGGAGTGGGTAATCGCTTGATCGGAGTATATATAACAAATGGTACAAGAAAATGGTGAAAAAATTGCAGGTGAAGTCTTAAAACGGCTTTGTGCAGAACCTTAAAGATTACTGCTAGTGTTATAAAATAAATATTTTTTAAACGATTTTGTAGCATCATTGACCGACCAAGTCCATCGGAGTTTTAAAAGAAATGATTCAAAATTTAATATTGAATTTGTTAGTAGATCCATCTTACCAGGAACCATGGTTAACCATGGAATACTATGGTATCCCAAAATTTAATAGCCAATTCTTATGTAAAATTGTCCTCTGAATCCGAAAATGTCGTCAAAAGTTAAAAAAGAAGAACAGTTTTTGAGATATAGTCGATTTTCCATTTAATATGGAATTGACTATATCTCAAAAACTGCTCCACTTTCATAATTTTTGACGGTATTTTCGGATTCAGGGGACAATTTTACATAAGAATTGGCTGTTAAATTTTGGGATACCATGATATTTCATGGCTAACCATGGTACAAGTGAAAAAGCAGCCACTAATAACTATTAAATTAGTCATTTTTGACTAATTCAGTTTTAGAGAGAAAGCTTCTCGCAGCTGGGTACATAAGCATTTTTCTAGAAGGCCTTGAAGATGCATGCACATTTTTTGAATCAGTAACTATATACACACAAAAAACGTAGTGTTTGTTGTGAATATATGTTATTTATTAGACTGGGCCAAAAAAATGGACTATTTTTTTTTTTGAAAAATATAACGAGAATGTCATTCAGAATGACAAAAAAAATATTTCGTGAAAATTTGAGCCCTTAATATTAATTTTAAGAGGTCTATCATCGCTATTTTTGATTTTTAGTCATAATCTGATGTTTTACGTTAGAACTGTCAAAACATTAAAGTGATAAAAATTCCTTTTCACTTATTTTTATATAAAATTAAATTCTCTACAAAAAAGGTCTGATTGAAAATTTTCGTCAGACGAGCCGTTTCCGAGTAATTGAGCCTAATAAATCGATGTGTTTTTTAGATTTGCCCTTTTTACTTTGAAATTTTGTAACTAATGAATCAATGAATATTTTAAAAAGCTCACGTCGGATTCTTAAAGGAAATTTAGTGTTCTACAAAAAAGGTCTCTTAACATTTTTGCCTAAATTTAATTCTTCAAAAGTTATTCACGAAGAAAAAATTGAAATTTTAAGTTTTTCTTCGATTTTAATCGTGAATAACTTTTGAAGAATTAAATTTAGGCAAAAATGTTTAGAGACCTTTTTTGTAGAACATTAAATTTCCTTTAAGAATCCGACGTGAGCTTTTTTAAATATTCATTGATTCATTAGTTACAAAATTTCAAAGTAAAAAGGTCAAATCGAAAAAACACATCGATTTATTAAGCTCAATTACTCGGAAACGGCTCGTCTGACGAAAATTTTCAATCCGACCTTTTTTGTAGAGAATTTAATTTTATATAAAAATAAGTGAAAAGGAATTTTTTTCACTTTAATGTTTTGACAGTTCTAACGTAAAACATAAAATTATGACTAAAAATCAAAAATAGCGATGATAGACCTCTTAAAATTAATATTAAGGGCTCAAATTTTCACGAAATTTTTTATTTGTCATTCTGAATGACATTCTCGATATATTTTTCAAAAAAAAAAATAGTCAATTTTTTTGGCCCAGTCTATTATTTATTTTAAATATACCGTTAGTTTATATATGCGCGAATAAATGAATTGTTTGTAATAAATATTTCGTATATTCCCCATTCAAAAGAATGATCGTCTTAAAACAAGACTTTCATTTAAAAGCAAGTAAAGCTTTATTTTGTTTAAGAATTTCATATATTTGATGTTAAAGTAAATAAACATATTATATATTCTAATTTAATACCTATATCATAAACTTTTAAGTAATTGAATACGTTACTTTATGAATATTGCTCTATTTAAAAAGGAATGTTTTCATATGTTTTCATATGTTTTTATATGTTCAACATAATTATTTGCAATAGTCTTAACAAAAGTATAATAGTTTTAGGATACACTTGTAAGTAAAATATAAAATTACTTTTAAATAAATCAAAGGTTCAGTTAAAATAAATTACCAAATTCATATCAATAGTTAAAGATTTGTTTTATATATAATACTTTTCCATTTAGTTTACGAATTTAAATATATGAATTTGTTTGACTTAAAACAAATATTTTTTAAATTTTTAATAAAGCTTTTTGGTCCTGGAGTCCCCTACAACCACCGCTTACAGGTCTGGTCCAGACCGTCTGGATCTCGGAATGATGACTCATTGCCAGTGAGTCTGCGCTCGAACGATCGAGAGCGGTTCGGAGCTCGTGACTTGAGTCGCCTAAGCATTGAATATAGAAGGCAGTGCGAAGCGTCGTAGAGTTAGTCAAGCTTTGGTACTCGAGACGAAATAAATTAAATATACATGCACACAAATAGACTCTTGTACAGTAGTGATACACTGCGCGTCAAAATTAACGCATAATAAGTAAAAAAAAATTAACTCTAAAACTCCTTTACCAATCTTTATGAAATTTTGTATAAGAATACTTCAACTTATATCTCAGTTTACGTGTTCGAAGGTTTTTCGAGAAAATATTTTTAAAACCCTTTTATTTAATATTAAATATTAAAAAATTTGCTGTTAAAGACCGTATTTTTATTAGTATACCCTGAAAATTTTGTACAAATAAAACAAACAGTAACGAAGATATAGCGCTTCAAAGTCGGTAAAGATGACCCCTTTTTGATTATTTTTCTGAAAAGTGGTCATTTTTACCGACTTTGAAGCTCTGTATCTTCGTTAATGTTCGTTTGATTTATACAAAATTTTCAGGGTATACTAATAAAAATACGGTCTTTAACAGCATATTTTTTATTTACTTAAAAAAGTTCCCTATAAAAGTTTTTTTTTGAGCGTTTTTTTTTAATAAAAGGGCTTTAAGGATATTTTTTCGAAAAACCCTTGAAAAAGTAAACTGAGATATAAGTTAAAGTATTTTTATCCAAAATTTTATAAAGATTGGTAAAGGCGTTTTAGAGTTATAATTTTTTTACTTATTATGCGTTAATTTTGACGGGCAGTGTATAAGTGTTTAGTTAGTTTTATAGTATTTTAAGTGTAATTAAGTCATAAAATAAATCGTTTAGTTCGTTTCTTAAACCAGTGCGTGTTTTATTCACACTGTCGAACCGTAAAAACGTTACAGTATCATAAAACCTAGGCTTTAACTAGATACGAGTAGATGTAATTGTCATGCCCTAATATTATGTACCCATTATATTTTGCATGCGTTTGAAGCCTTCAACTCCAAATTCCTACTGGGTAGCATGCATATTATTAGTTTCTCCTTGCCTACCATCCCCCCCTAAACAAAATCCTGGCTTTAACTTTACAGTTGTTACAGCAATAAACTTCTAGTCTCGGAATAAACATTAAACAAAGAAATGTAAATATTTGTTTTATCAACTAATACATATTATAATAATGAATGTATGATAATACTATTTTCATAATCTAGTGAGGTTGCATAGATATAACAATGAATAATAAACATTTAAGAAAAAATCCCTACGAAATTCGTCCTATTCCTGAGGAAATATCAATCCAATTAAAAAAATGTTTGTATATTAATACTGTGTATTTTAAATTTGTAGGCATTAATTATAATAATTGTTTTTCTTATTTTTATTTTGTATTTCTCAGCTGGAAATAAATTCGATGTGGATCAAGTAGGACCTAAGAAGTATATGGTTTGGCCATGTTATAGGAAATATAAAGATGAAATTTACAATTTTTCCATTAAAACAAATGATGTTTGGGTAATAACATTTGGAAGATCAGGTAAATAATAAATAAAAAACTTTTTTTTCCTTAAAACTTTTTTAAATCCCCTATTTTAAAGATTTTACGTTTTATAGAAACAAAACAATGTCTGTAGACATTTTACAATAGATATAATGATTTTAGTGTTAGAATCAATACACATTTTGTTTAAGTGTATTTCGTGAAGCCAAATAGTTTTTTTAATTTCCCATTTTTAATTCATTGATTTTTATATTTATTCTAAATGCAAAATAAACATTTTAAAAGATAATTTTTAAATATAAATAATTTTCAGGAACGACAATGATGACTGAAATGGTATGGCAAATAGCTAATAACATGGATTTCAAAACAGGGTTTAAAGTGCCCTTAATCGCGAGAGTTCCTTATTTTGAGTTTCCTTTAGCTAATGACCATAGAAAAGAATCACTTTTAAAGGAACATAAAAACGATCCCGAAAAATTGACAACTCTTAATTCAATTCTTACACCTGAATGGGAAAAAACTGAGTATCCAGAAACAAGAATTTACAAGTGCCACTTACCAATTTCATTGCTTCCACCAGAATTACCCAAAGAAGGAAAAGTAAGATTATTGATTTAAACTTAATATAACATATTTTATTACAATATTATTTTATCAGAATTAATAAATAAATAAACCTGTTTTTAAAATCAATATTAAAAACATGACATTATTAAAATATCTAAAAATAAACCTATTACAAGATTTTTGCACTAAGACCTTTGCTTTTGTGTGGACAACGTCCACTAAACAAAAATTTGACATATATGTCAAATTATATATACCTATATAGGTATATATAATTTGGGTAAAAATTTCTCAAGTGGGCCACCCAAAAACCCTTCAGTCAAATTTTTTGTTCAAAATATATTTTTTGGGTAAAGTTTAAGCACCTCCACCGATTTGCCCAAAAATTTGTCTAAAAAATTTTTTTTTGTCTCAAACATTAATGAACTAAGTTTTAAGACACTTTTTTTTTAAAAATTAATATCTCCTAAAGTAATGCATTGATTTTTAAAATTAAATCACCAATTAATTCAGATTTTAACGTAGTTTCGATAAAAAAAATTTATAACCTTCAAAATTTGCATTTTTATATATTTTTTAGGTTAATATTTATGAAAAATTGTAAAAAATTGTGTTCTTCATCGAAATTTGTAACGAAAAAAATAGTGTATATAAAAGAAACATTATTAAATAGATTTGCGTTTAGAAAAAAAATGAATCTCTTCTAGAAATGGAGATATAAAAACATTTATAAGGCGGAGCGCTGCACTGGCAAGCGCGATAAAACGGGTAGTCGCGCGGAGCGCGTTATCTTCAAGCTTCGAAGTTCGTTGTTATTCAAAAATCGAAAAAACAAACGTGTTTATTAAAAAAAACTCTTTATTTGTTAATTATTATTAATAAATTTTTTTTGCATATACATTAGTTTACTTGCACAAGTATTTACTTCCTGATTGCACATGTTTTATATTCATTGGACATGATATGTTTGCCGTCTTCACTTGGTTTAAAGCAATGATACTGGCGCGTATTTTTTATTGTAATTGCTTTCTTATAACGTGAGGTTAAAGCTTTATGCTCCCGATCGTGTTCGTTTTCTGTGCAAAAATCAAAAGAAACTTTCTCAAAAAAATTAATTGCCCAATTATAAAAAATCTTGGGCGTTAAAATTTGATTATATTCAGGTCGTTGCAAACTAACACGATAAGCATTTCTTTTTACTGTCGCGCCAATACCGTCACAGGCACTTTTTCCGTGGGATGTTGCAGAAAAATTCCATTCGACATTGATACCAGTAGATTTCATTAGAAATACAAGATTGAGAAAATTGAACTTATTTTTATATTGGGAACCGGAACCATCAGAAAAAAAGAACAACTTTTTTACATTTTTTTCCCCATGAACTTCCTTTAAATAATTCAGCATCTTTTTATTGAATAAATTCACTGCCGTTGAATCGTGTTTCATACTTTCCGAAATAATTACGAAATTGTGATGAAGGGTTTCATTATTTTCTTTGTAATAAATTACATAGGGATGTATCGTAACTTGGTTGTTTGACCAATGAAAAGACTGAATTGCATCTTGAATAACAAAACTAAAATTTTCAGAAAAATCCAAGGTAATGACGAACTCCCCATTTTTAAGATTTTTTTTCAAGTTATCAAGATACTCTGCTTGTGCTTTTGCTATGTAATCATGTTTTAAAAGCTCTGGAAGTTCTTTTTCAACTCCATTAAAAAAATCAGCTTTTTCTTGGCAGAGAGACAGTAGTTCGCATCTGTAATGAAGACAGACATTATAATAATTGCATTGTGACGTTAGAAACCCTTAAACTTTACAAATATTTGTACCCTTTTACCTGTCTGTGCTCGTCCATGATTTAAACTGGATTTTTTCAATGTTGTGATCATCGAAAATTTGTGACAATTTTTCAATGATTGGCGAAACGCCGGGACAGTTCTTGCAATCAAGGAGAAAACACGCTTCAGCCGATTTTTCGCACACCATACTTTTTAAAATGTCACGAACTTTATGATCACATTGGACACTTCGTTTTTTTAAATAGTCATTCAGTCCAACAAACTTTAAATTCATATTTTGATGAATTCGACAAACACATACATTGTGAGTTCCACTTGGTCCGACAGGAATGCACCAACCAGGGCGAAGTTTTGTAAATGCAGACAAACTTATTTTCACTTCTGTAATTTCTGCACAAAATTTGCCGTACAGTTCATTAATATTAAGCAGTAATAACCGCTTCTGTATTTGTTTCCGTGCACCGTCATTTGTGACAATTTTGATGTAATCTTTTCTACCAGGCATAACGCGACTATATTTATCCGATGTGTAAAACTCCTCAATTTTTTCTAAAACGTCCGTTTTTAATGGCCGCCCCTTTTTCTTATCAGGGCAAGATGCGTACCCACGAGAGTTTCGTAATTTTTGCGCGTTCCACGCTGCTCGTCGGGAGACATTTAATTCTCTGTGAATTTTTCTTACACTCCAATCTCTTGGCACGGTGGTAAGGATCCTCATTTTTTCAGCTTTGGAAGTTGCATTTGATAAAGCGATTTTGACTTCCTCTATCCACACTCTAGAAACTGGGCTTTGATTCTGGGATGGATCTGTAAATTTTGTGATTGATTAGAAATTAATTTTACAAAACTACAAAACAATGTTTCTCAGTATTTGTGAGCCTCATTTTTACCATTAATTTTCCTTTTCTTAGGATTTTCATTGCTTAATTTATAATCTGGAGAAGAGTCGTCAGCTTCGTTATCCGAAATTGATTCTCTTCTTATTTCAAATTCTTCATTATCTTCCTCTTCTTTAGGAGTATTTTCACTTTTACATTGAAAAGTACTCAATGAATAAATTGAAAGTCTGCACGAGTCACACAAATATTTGCCGATCAACTTTAAAAAAACTTTACTTCAGTTTTTCGTAACGAGTTTAATTAGTTTTCTCACACAATTATGATTTGGCTTATTTTTTGGGTTGCAGCAAAAATTTGGGGTTGGCATTTTCTAAAGGTAACAAGGAAAGCGAAGATCGATCACCTGTTTAATTTAAGTTTATATAAATATTTAAATTTAGCAAATTAAAATTTAATATTTGAGTCTTGCAAAGCTTGAAACTTTAATACTTAACGCCTATTATATTTACTTTTTATTACGTGTAAGCTTTTAATTTTATTTTGTTTTGCACACAATAAAATTATATATCCTACTCTCTTAAAATGAATTAGTCAAAAATAACTAATTATAAGTCATATTTGACTAATTGTCATAGCGAAAAAGCAGTCACTAATAATTAGTCAAATTCCACTGAATGAAATAGTCAAATTAGTAAATTTAAATTTAAAAAAAGTTTTGACCCAGCCTGGGATTGAACTCAGGTCTGTCACTTGACAAGTTTGTCAAGCTAACCTCTTAACGCATTCGGCTGTCAGCCGCTCTTATAAAAATCAATTTTATTTGTCAATAAATATTGTTCATAATATTTTAAAGTTTAATATATTATTTTTGTTGCTGTTTTGAGCTAAACTTTTTGCATCTTTATTTGTTTTATGGGTCATTTAACCATGGAGAGGTATATGCATTTAATTCAAATAATACTTTGTTGTTGGCCGTAAACGATTAAAGAAATTAGTTACTTTTAACTGTCAGAAATAGTCAAATAGGTATGGTGACTTATCTTAAATTAGTCAAACTTTAACTATTTACGTTGTAAAAAATAACTATTTAAAAGTGAAAACGACTATTTTATTAGTAAAAAATGCTGGTACTAATTCAAATAGTAGAATTTTGACTATTTCATTTTTATAGGAACCGAAATAAATGTATTTAAGATCTACTAGATACTTAAATTGTTATTTAAGCTGTTATTTTACAGAAATAACTTACCTTTTTTCTTCCTTAAATAATTATTTACCAAAAACTTAATTGAACAATTGTATTTTAATAATTAAACACTTATCAATAACGACTTTACAACAACACTGTTACCCAGCGAATAATATTTTGACGAATAAATGACAGTTCGAGGGTTTAAGTTTAGGACGTCAAAGCCCACTACATATTAAGTATTAAACGTTTTTGACAGTTGTCAAATATCGCCTTTTGGTTTTGTGTCTAGATTTTGTTTAGTTAATTAAATCTAACATACCTACGCATCAAACAAAATGGGCGCGCTCCCCGCGGGTCGTCGCGGCGACCCGTTTTATCGCGCTCCGCCTTATAAATGTTTTTATATCTCCATTTCCAGAAGAGATTCATTTTTTTTCTAAACGCAAATCTATTTAATAAGGTTTCTTTTATATACACTATTTTTTTCGTTACAAATGTCGATGAAGAACACAATTTTTTACAATTTTTCATAAATATTAACCTAAAAAATATATAAAAATGCAAATTTTGAAGGTTATAAATTTTTTTTATCGAAACTACGTTAAAATCTGAATTAATTGGTGATTTAATTTTAAAAATCAATGCATTACTTTAGGAGATATTAATTTAAAAAAAAAAGTGTCTTAAAACTTAGTTCATTAATGTTTCAGACAAAAAAAAATGTTTAAGACAAATTTTTAGGCAAATCGGTGGAGGTGCTTAAACTTTATCCAAAAAATATATTTTGAACAAAAAATTTGACTGAAGGGTTTTTGGGTGGCCCACTTGAGAAATTTTTATATATATAGGTATATTACTTATAAGTAATGGGCTTAAGTATCAATAAGAATCTTCAAACTTTAATAATTCTTCGACATTTGTGTTCAGTGATTCATGGTAAAACCTATTTTATTTTAACACAAATTTCTTCGTAAAATGTTTTAATTATGTTTTAAAGTATCTTAAAAATCCGTTTTAAACATAAAAACAGTTTTTAACAAAAAATACTGTTTTTTAAAACATGCTCTAAGCCAAGCCTGATTGACATTTTTTTAAATTGACCTGAGTTGTTTTTAAAACTGTTTTGGGATATCGACAAACATTTTTATAAAAAAAAGTTGTACACATTTATTTAATAAATTATATATAAATTAATGTTAAGTTCTACAAATAGCCAACCAAATTAAAATTTTATTAAAATGAATGGCCATTTTTATACAAATATACCCTTAATAATATATATTTATTTTAGATACTCTACGTAGTAAGGAACCCTAAAGATACTGCAGTATCTTCTTATCATTTTAGTAAAAATTTTTCTGATCAGCCACCATTCGAACAATATTGGGATCTTTTTGAAAAGGGCTTACGTAAAACAGGTAGAGTGTAAATTTAAATTTATATTAAACATTTTTTTTAGTATGGTCCACGTTTTTTGATCACTGTCTAGAAGCATGGAATATTAGAAACCAAGAAAATGTATTATTTTTATTTTATGAAGATATTGTCAAGGTTGCTTTAAAAAAGAACAGGCTTGCGATAAATTGTTAACCAATGCATATATTTTTAGGATATGAGATCTACAATCTTAAAAGTTTGCAAATTCCTTGGAAAATCATATTCAGATGCTGAAATTAATAAATTGGTGGAACATATGAAATTTGATAATTTTAAAAAGAATAACAGCGTAAACAAAGATTACTCTGACTTTTTCCCTAAATCTGATAGAGATTTTGTAAGACAAGGCAAAGTAGATTCCTATAAGGAATTATTTACGAAGGAACTTAATGAAAGAGCTAACAAATGGATCAGAGAAAATTACCTGAAAACTGATATGAGATTTCCTACCATGCCTGAATAAATATTTAACAATATAATTGTTTATATTACATTAAAGTTATCTAAAGTATATAAAAATTTTAACCTTGTTAATGTTTGTATATGTGAAAAATATTTTATTTATTTTATATCAGATAAATAAATATTTATATAATTTAAAATTATTTAAATAACATTTAACCCTAATTAAAAATTGTAAAATACAATTAATTTTAGACTTACTTTTTAGATTTATCCAATCCATCCTTATCTATTATGATTTTAATGTTTTTATTATATCTTTTGATTTAAAAAAAAATGTTTATGTAATAGTTGACAGTAAAAATATTTAGTCCATTTTATATCTGATAATATAATAAAATAATGTAGGTATTATCAAAAAACATCTTAAAACATAGTTTAGATATGTAGAATCTTCATTGTAGCTAATATAGGTAATATTAATTATTCCATAAAAAAATTTAAAAATATTTTAGTTTAAAACAATTTCCAATATTTTGTTTTGTTATCTTTAAGAGTATAATAAATGAAAACATGTATTACATAACATTAAATATATATATATATATATATATATATATATACAGTGCGGACGTTAAAAGTCCCCCCCTGTTATCTTTTGAACGAAAAAAGGTATCGACATCGGACAAAAACCATTGTCAAGGACATTAAGAATACTACTTTTTGACATCAAATTGATAGGTGCCCATTTAAGGAGCGCCAAGAGGGCAGTATCAACTTAAAAATTTCAAAGGGAAAGGGGGGCTTGTGATACCTCATTTGAAAGGTATTTCGATTCTCTATGCGGTGCTATAAAAATCCGTTTAACGGTTGCTGAGATATTAAACATTTAAATAAAATTAATTCTTAAATCAAATTTTATTATTAAGTACAAGGTTTTCATTCATTAAGTACACCTATTTGGATAAGTCTCATCAAGCCACAGTCTAACATCCCTAAAATAATGTGCGGCCGCTCCATCTTGTTGTAATATTTCTTCCATGTCAAATTCGTCAGGATTAGCTTGAACTATATCTTGAATCATTGGGTGAATTTGTGTTTGAAGCATGTTTAAGTACAAGATGCCTGTTAAATTTCCTTTCAAAAAGATGGGTCCTACAATATGGTTTCCCAGTTGTCCCGCCCTTAAATTGACTTTTTGTGGATACTGGGTATGACCTTCACGAAAAGCATGTGGCCAGTAACGTACATTTTGCCGATTTACATTGCCATTTAGGAAAAAAGTACTTTCATCACTAAAACAAACTGATTGCAAGTACATGGGATTTTGTATTATGCGCTCAAACATAACTTCACAAAACTGTACTCTGCGATCCGGGTCTTCAGTAAGTTGATGTAATATTTTTAATTTATAGGGATAAAATTTGTTATTTTTTTAAATATTTTTTAATAGTTGATATTGCTACATCACAATCCCCTGCAAGTGCCGCCGTCGATTGTTGTGGATTATTGACGACGGAACCGACTATTTCTATTTGTTTGTCTTCTGAGATTGATTTTCTACCCAATCCTTTCTGCCTACTCAAACTTCCAGTTGTTTGAAATTTGGTCACTAACTCCCGTAGATATTTTCTGCAAATAGGGTTGTCTGGGTACCTTTCATTAAATACCCTCTCTGCTTGGTGCAAATTACGTCCAACTTCAGCATAAATAAAAATTGCTTCTGTTTTTTCTTCCAACGGGCGAGCGCAAACCATTTTCCAATGAAATAAGTAAAATTGCAGGCACAACTGATAAGTAATAGTGTTACACTAAAGAGTAGAATTATTTTATAAACCGCCTTATAACTACAATGGTACGTTTTTTTTTACAAAACAAAAACCAAAAAGTGTAAAAAAAATAAATACAGATTTACGATAATTCGCACCGCCAGGGCCGGATTTACCGAACAGGCAACGTATGTAGCTGCCTAGGGCGGCAAGAAAATGTATTAGTTTGAAAAACAAATGAGGTATCACAAGCCCCCCTTTCCCTTTGAAATTTTTAAGTTGATACTGCCCTCTTGGCGCTCCTTAAAAGGGCACCTATCAATTTGACGCCAAAAAGTAGTATTCTTAATGTCCTTGACGATGGTTTTCGTCCGATGTCGATACCTTTTTTCGTTCAAAAGATAACAGGGGGGGGACTTTTAACGTCCGCACTGTATATACAGGGTGTCCGGGAAAAGGAGGTCAATCCGTTAACCATATATTCCTTGAGTTAAAACAATAAGACTTTCATAATACCATTTTTCAATTTAGAGCTTCATGTTCGATATACAGGGCGACAAAGTTTGAAATTTAAAACTGATTTTTTTTAATAATTCGAGTAATTGATAAGATTTTAATTTTAAATTCGGTACACTATTTCAACCTAAATAGTTACATTTTTTGAGACCAACAAAATAAAAAACAATTGTCAAATAATCAAAATAGGGGGGTTCAGTACTCACTGACTCCCCCTATTTTTTAGTACGTGCGCCAATGACTTCCAAACGGTATTTTTTCAGGTAATCATTTATTGTTGAAATTTTTTTGTCTCTTATAAAATTTTGATAAAATGATTTGTTTTAGAGATAATTTGTAAAGTATGGGTCAGTCCATATCAAATTTTCGAAATTTATTTTTTTTTTGAAAAAATTTAGGTCATGTGATATAAGTATCTTAAAAAAGGTCTCTAATAGGCCTTTAAAATAAGCCATCACTCACCTTTCTACTTTTAATAGTTTACGAGATTTACCTATTTTTGTAAGTACTTGCAAGACCCAAATTTATCGAAATTTTTTGATTTTCAAAAATCAATAAAACAAAAACCGCCTATCAAAAAAAATTCAAATATGGGATTTTTGAGTTTTTTAGTGAGGTAAACAAATTTACCAAAAATTATCAAAATCGGAGATGGTGGGGGAAGAACCTTTGGTTGATTTGATATGGACTGACCCATACTTTACAAATTATCTCTAAAACAAATCATTTTATCAAAATTTTATAAGAGACAAATTTTTTTCAAAAATAAATGATTATCTGAAAAAATACCGTTTGGAAGTCATTGGCGCACGTACTAAAAAATAGGGAGAGTCAGTGAGTACTGGACCCCCCCTATTTTGATTATTTGACAATTGTTTTTCGTTTTGTTGATCTCAAAATATGTAACTATTTATGTTGAAGTAGTGTACTGAATTTGAACTTAATATCTTATCAATTAATCGAATTATTAAAAAAAATCAGTTTTAAATTTCAAACTTTGTCGCCCTGTATATCGAACATGAAGCTCTAAATTAAAAAATGGTATTATGAAAGTCTTATTGTTTTAACTCAAGGAATATATGGTTAACGGATTGACCTCCTTTTCCCGGACACCCTGTATATATATATATATATATATATATATAAATTTAACAAAAGTTGAAATCTAAAAACACATCATATGAATAGATGCATTTTTTAATAGTAAACATTTAACCGCTGACTTAAACGACTTTGCTTTTTATATTTTCTGTCAATGTATTAAAATATTTAGGAGCTAAAAAATTTATATACCTACTTCTAACTTTTTGTTAGTCTGCAGAGTAGTAACCTTTTTTGATAAAATGTATATAATGTATTATAATTATTATCCCAATATTCGCAGGTTTAGCGTTAGTGCGCCATTTTCGGGATACCCTTATATTAAAAATGTATTTCTTATAACTCAGTATTTTTATATTAGTTATTTATGTATTAAGGGCATAATAAGGTTTTTATGGTCCGAGGCGCTATTTCGAGCCCGAGCGCGTTAGCGCGAGGGCTAGAAAAGCGTCGTATTAAAGATAAATGAAATTGAGGAAGCAGCTGAAAAGGCGAAAAATTGCGGCCTGCTGCAGGTAAAATCAAAATCTTTATACGAAAAAACTTACTTCGAATATATCAAATGGTGTAACATTGTTGTTTTTAATTTTTGACTTTTCATTATAGCCCGCTGGGCCATAATAAAGCCCGCGGGCTATAAAAAGACGTTTACGTCAAAGAATTTTTGTTATAATTGTCATATTATAATGTCATCGTGCATAAAATATATTATATTATAAGGAAAGCACTTGATACTCTTCTAACAAAATGACTTGGTATCTTTTAAGAAGTCGAGAAGTAGAGCTTTGATAATGCAGCGGCGTTAGAGTGATAGCAAACTGTGTTATAGACATAGACTTCATAAACTAAATTAATTAATATGACGGTTCACGTTGCATAAACACCATGGTGCACCATGCATTCATGAGGAAAACTGGTAGCACCGCATTGTACTCTTGTAATATAAACCGCTGTCTACTGCTTTGGCAATATCTCGGGTTGTAGATATTATATTTTTCCAAGCTGTAAGCACTTAATTGACTAGATTAATTAATATTATTAAAATAACAGAATTTTAAAATAAAAATTAAGTACGTTAAAACATATTCAAAAATGTTGTTTTAAGGTTTTGTTGGCCAATGCGATTTTTTTCGAGAAAATTTTAGACAGTAAAACACCAATGATTTTAAGTTGGTAAATCGACGTGATTAATAAAACCGAGTGTCTAGGAGAAGTTTATAAAACGAGTTGCATACTATACTTTATCTAAGACGAACACAAAAAAGAATTTAAAGCCATTTTTATTTGTTAAACATTTGACATCTGTCAAATGTCAACGGATTTAACCTCACTTTTCCCCAATTTATAATTATAACTTCAGACCGTGACTAAAACGCCATAAAGTCAAAGCTTGTCAATGTAGGAGTAGATAAATACATTTATAAGTGACAACCTTATTATTGACAAAAATTCGGTTTTATATAGGATTGGGCAATATAAAACACAACAATTGGGTTATGTTTGCAATGTGTTTTATTACAAGTACCTAAATTTGCATTAGAAGGTATGAGAAACGAAAATTACGGCTTAAAGCCTCTGAAAAGGACAAAGAAATTTTGTTGATGTTGGTGAAAATTTTGTTCAAGTGTTCTTGTAAGAGATTAATTATATTATAATAATGATAATAATTATTATATTATAGTTATAGGAATACTAGACCTGTTTCTAAAAAGCTACTTACTTATTCTTTTACAGGTACTAATAATACTTTTTAGTCATTTAGGAAAATGTTTTGAAAAATAAATGCAATGATGCCGAAAACATCGAGAGGAAAAAAATTGGTAAAAAGAATATAAGAAAATTAAGAAACAAACTATAAACTTTTCTAAATCCAGATTGAGTGGTATATTATTTTTCGAAATGTGCGATCTTATTTGAAATTTCATGATTTTTTCGAGAACTTTGGATAACATAGGTAAGAGATGTATGGCCTAGCTCACTAAAGCTAGTAATATTTGGCTTCTTGGGCAGTGGCAGAACTTTGGAAACAAACATGAATTTATTATATTGGTGATATGAGGTAAAGTTCGGGGACAACAAAACCTTAACATATTTAAATATTTTAATATTATAGTTTCCGGTACCAAAGAAAAATTAAATTTATAACTTATGTTTTCCCTCATAAAAGTTTAACAAATCTGGATCAGGTTGAGAGGTATATGAAAGTTCTAAAAAATGCCTGTTTATCATTCCTGGGTTATTAAGACTTCTGGCAAAACATTAGGTTAAATTTTTTATGAATATCAAGTTCATTAAATTTTTTCCATAATAATTTACCCTGATTTTTTTCTAGCACAATATTCTATGTAATTCTTTTTCTCTTCCCGTATTGCAGTGGTAGTAAAATTTTTAATATTTTTTTTATAATATTTCCAAAAAGCTTTATTTTCAGTTTTATAAGTTTTTTGATATTATCTGTTAAACCGATATACGGCCTCAGATGCTCGAAAAAGTGGTCCAAAAATGGACATCCAGATTGCGTTTTATTCGAACCAGCCGCAGCCCGAAATCATATTTAAACAATAATGGCATATAATTATCTTTGCAATAAAGCGAAGTTTTTTTAAATCCGTAAAATTTTGTTGCATTGAATTGTTACTAAATAAACATTCAAGAAGTAACATGTTTATCTCTCTGATCTTTATTCGACGATTGACACATACCTACAATTTGCAGTTTGATGTACTATAGTACTATTATCAACAAACATGTTTTATTTTAAGATATCATTAATAAATTAAAATTAAAGTATATAGAGCTAAAAATCAATATAATAATGTTACGTTTGAGTACACGGAAAATAATATAAATATAAATCTATAATGTAATTATGTTAAATAAAAGGATGATTGTGTTAATTAGTAAATAAGATTAAAATTATTTCTATTATTATAAAACCGATTAGATATTGGTGATAAGATAAGACATTGGTGGTTAGATTTTTTTTATATAACGCATAGTAAAAAATATACGTACCTTCAAAACTTTTTATTAAACAACTTTTTTGACTTTTCCATTGCTTCTGTACTAGACAAGGGGCCCTTATTTTAGGAAATTTTCTTAAAACACTAATAAATAAACTGTTGTATTATTATAAGGATAATTTACTTAAATACATTTTTTTGCAATAGCAAGAGCATTTTGTTAAAAGTAATTTACAAGAAAATTATTATTCTAATATATTCCTATATTCCTATATAGGAAGCATTTGCGTTTAAGTTTAAGTTTAAAAATAATAATTCTTGCACTAAATAATTCTAATTTCAACCAAAGTGTAGTTATGGCTGAGAGCAAAGAAACAATATATTATATTCGAGTGCATATATGTATATATACAAATAAAGGAATATTAAACTTTAATGTATTTTTTAATAATACAAAAAGGAATAATTTTTAAATGAAATTGGATGGAAATTATTTCTCCTAAAAGTTTACTATTTAGAAAGCATTTGGCGTCTTAGAACTGACTATGGAGTGGTGAGGACTTTCTTTTCAGGAAAACGCACAGTAACAAAATATATATCCATAAAACGATATTAAAAATCTTTAAGATATCGATTTTTTAAAATACTATTATATCGAAAATAGTATATTATGTATCAAGTTTGCCATTTTATACACGAATTTAATTTGGACACAAGCAAGCTTGCGAGCGAGTGCTTAAATTAATGAGTGTATATATTATAAAATTTTATAAAAGAGGTGCATACTATACTTTATCTACGACAAATAACACTTATTATTATCTTAAAATAATTTAAATCAAAAATTTGTATAGAGCGCCATCTATGAAACAATCTGTGTGTCACCGTCAAATGTCAATTTTTTTTATTTTATAAACACAGATTAAAAAGGTTATAAATCAAAAAGTATTTCATGAAAATTGACAGTTTTTCACAGTGAATGTAAAGAAAATGTTATATGAGCACTTTACAGTGGACCGTGTCCGAATTTAAGTTATATTTTACTGCAGGCGAAATTAAAAGTTCAGTACAATGTTCATATAAACTTTTCAAATATTGGCGATGAGAAACTATTTAATACTTTTGTATTTTTGTATTGAGATAATAAAATAATTTTCACATTTAGTACCTATTATTTTACAAGAAAGGCACTTTATTTTAACGTTTGTATGACATTTGACAACTGTTAAAACTAACTTCAGCCCGTGACTAAAAACCTGTTGCTAACTTCATCCCGTGACTAAAGCGCCATAAAGCCACAACTTGTCAATGTGTATTTAAAAGGTCACTTAGTGTTATGGAAACATGTACGATAAAGGGCATTTGAAAGGGGGGAGTAGAAAAAAATGTTTAGAAGTATATTTTAATATGCTGATTGTATAAGGGAATATTATCACAAGTAAAATCGTGGTTTTACCCTTTAAATTATCCTTCTCCAGTAACTGTGCGGTGAAAAATTCATTCCATCCTTATCGGTCCAAGTGGCAACAGAGAGTAACGGTGCGCATGCTCACTGGAGAACGGGAGGCTGGAGACAAAAATCCCGGTTAGCAGTGAGGGTTGCGGATCGGCCGCTTTAGGTTCTCTTCCAAAAACGAGTCGATACCATTCCTGCCGCGTTGTTGTGACTCCTGCTCTGAATATACTTATTCAACAGAAAATTACCAGTAAGTCAAGCAAAAAATTTGATTATGATATTTGTTTAAAAAAACAATAAAATTTGTTTTAATCTTGAAGAATTTTTTGTTACATTAATAAATAGTAAGAAGCAGAAATCTTAGTTTAAATAAGCCTTTAATCATAATTAAAATATGCGTTTTAGCATAAATTGTTTAATTAAACAAATATGATTTTTTACTTTCATTTTATTCCCAATTAAATTTGCATTAATAATATTTAATAGTTGGAATTCCTGCGAGCATTACTGCTAACGTATATACAAAATTGTATAACAATATCAGGGGAATTCTTATACAGTTTATTGTTACGATTGTCGAAGGAATTTGGGGTTTTCGATTTTTTACAGACGGAAATGGATTTTATAGAGCTCTTGAGGTTTCTGAATAAATGTGTCGCTTGAAACGACAAAGTTTTAATAAATCTTGCAGGATTAACTTCAAAGTTGTATCAGATGGTTTATGAAAGGTATATTAAGATGTGGTATAAATGGTTGGTTAAAACAGGTGTTTTAGAATTAATTTGATGTGCTTTAGTTATATTATGAATTAGGCCTATGAAAGCTAATCTCTAATATCCAAAACAAAATCCATCAAAAATATCCAAGTCAAAAATTATTTTTTCTACTCCCACCTTTAAAACGCCCTTTATCGTACATGTTTCCATGACACTAAGTGACCTTTTAAATACACATTGACAAGTTGTGGCTTTACGGCGCTTTAGTCACGGGCTCAAGTTAGCAACAGGTTTTTAGTCACGGGCTGAAGTTAGTTTTAAGTTAGTTGACAGTTTTCAAATGTCATACAATCGTTAAAATAAAGTGCCTTTCTTGTAAAATAATACTAAATGTGAAAATTATTTTATTATCTCAATACAAAAATATAAAAATATTAAATAGTTTCTCAACGCCAATATTTGAAAAGTTTATATGAACATTGTACTGACCTTTTAATTTCGCCGGCAGTAAACTATAACTTAAATTCGGGCACGGACTCTACTGTAAAGTCCTCATAAAACATTTCCTTTACTTTCACTGTGAAACACTGTCAATTTTCAAGATACATTTCGATTCATAAACTTTATAATTGTGTTTATAAAATGTAAAAATATGACATTTGACAGTTTCCCCTGTTGTTTCGTAGAAGGCGCTCTATACAAATTTTTGATTTAAATCATTTTATGATAATAATAAGTATTTGTCGTGGAAAAAGTATAGTATGCACCTCGTTTATAAACTTTTCTATACACTCATTAAGTTAAGCACTCGCTCGCAAGCTCGCTCGTGCCTAAATTAAATTCGTGTATAAAATGGCGTTTATCAAACTTGATACATAATATACTATTATATTTTATGATTAAAGCATTTACATTTTGTGATCTATTGTTATAAAACCTGTTTAAATTTAAAATTAAAAAGTACGTAAAAAACACAAAACAAACGATATGGCTAAAACCACTTGCAGAGGCATCTTAAATTATAAATTGTGGTTCAGCCATAAAAATGGCTTAATATAAACCAACCGTTCAACAAAAAAGAGTACACAGATCCAGACCGGAGCAGACGCCTCCATTAAACAAAAAAGGGACGAGCAAACGTGTCTACATTAAATTAAAATTAATATTCGTTTTATCGTATTTATCTGAAAGGTTTTTATCTGGAAGTCTACGTACGAAAATTAATATAAGCTCTTTAATATTGCACGTCTACACACTAATTGGGGAAAATTTATGAAAAGAGTAGTTTTTTTGTTTGAAACTCTTTAAAATTTAATTAAACTTTTTCATATTTAACAAAAAATAGATTGTTCTCAAAAACTTTCCGGCAAACAAAAATATTAAATTTACTTTTAAGCCCAACCTGGCCCAGTAGTTTTTTATCGTAGTGTCATACAAGATGTATTTTGCTCTGCTATTATAATAGTTTTAAATTATTTTATTGTTCTAGTGAAAACTAACAATATTATGGGAATACACTTGCAATAAAAAAATTAAAAGTTCCATTATATAGTAAAAGCACCTACTAACTGTTTTATTAGTTGTTTTTAAATCTTTGATTGGTTCTATTTCATTAACTGTAATATAACTGCGTTTTACGATATATTACAAGAATATATTAAAATTAAATATTACAAGAAAATATTTCAAGCAATTTCAGATATGCCTTGGAAAACATATGTCCCGGTTTATTTTATATATACAATTTCTTTTGCAAACTTCAAATCTGTTAAAGTTGTTAATAAGCAATATTTTTTTTGACTTTTTTGTTTTTGTTTATTTTTTCATAGAAGAATTTGTGTTTTCCAGGCTTAAAAACAATGAAAAAACTTAAATGTTTTATGATTTTCGAGATACAAGGTTTATTGTTTTCTTATAATATCTAGCAAAACTTTGACGGGTGTCAGGTTGTATCAAATTTCTCAAATTCTTTTTAATTTTTCAATGCAGTTTTCATCCAATTTTAGCATATTTATGGGGTTTAGAATTTTGAATGAAAAAAAAAAAAATTTAAAACCCTGTTACTTGAAAAAAATAAAAAATAGGATAATATCATTTAGGTTTCGTCATTGTTTTAAACTTTTAGACTTTTTTAATGGTTTTTATTTAAATTGGATTTTACAAAAATTGGTTGAAAACCTAATAATTTATCAATTATTGATAAATTAAAAAGAAATTTTGAACTTTGATCCAACGTGGGTTTTTAAAGTTTTTTGTCATATGTTATATTAAAATGTGGCTGAATGTTATAATAATCCAATATTTAAAATATTAATTGAAATATTCTGTAGGATTTTTTTTAAAACCTTTTATCACGAAAACAATAAAAAATCAGATAACAATATGTTTTTCCTATTGTTTTTATGCGTAGAATACGCCCATGAAATTGTTCATTTTCTTTTCGACTCACCCTGTACAGGGGCGGATCCAAAAAATATTTCGTACCAAATTTGTACCCTCTAGGTTGCCATTTACTGGTCGCCCAAAAGGTAAGTACTAGGCTCCACAGGTCAAAGTTCCACCACGTGACTACGTACGGAACGCAGTCTTTTAAAAATTTGGCACCTAAGGCTTTTCAGGTCATGTAACTGTCAAAGTAAAGTCAACGAAAGAAATATCATGTGAGTTCGGTTTCGGGTCTCGTGTTGTTCGGTAGCTCTATGATCATAGACTATAGACTATGAAAGAGTATGTGAAATGCCCCAGGAGAGGCAAAATCGGACTTCCAGTGTAGAAACAGACTGGTATTAATCAAGAATTTGTAAAAATATAGGTATGGAAATAACTAAGAGATGGATTGGATGATTGAAGATTAAAGATAATTAGAAAATTATATGTATGAAGCCATGTGTACATAGTGAAGCGAAAATATGACATGGTTCCATAAAAATTAATAATGCCACATTTTCAAAAGAGTGTTCCGTACGGAGTCACTTGGTGGGACTTTGAGGTGTGGAGCATAGTACCTCTCTCATATTGATAGATCCAAAAAAATTGACCGCATCGCTATATTTATTAGTGGAAATGGTCATTAAGAACTTTTGTGTATTCCAAAAATCGATAGACGAACAGAAAAGGCTTAGGCTCAAGCATGCGTTGATTCAGATAAGAAATGTTAAGGTCATTAAAGGCTTTGTATATTATATGACAGCAAGTAGTTCTGGTCGCCACATTGGAGGTTTGAACAATTTCTTGAACGTGAACTTGTCGGGATTGATGGAATGGAACTTATATTATCGGCACCTTTTTCATGTTAGTTTAGCTTCTAGGGTTTAGCTCTACTGATGGTCCAGAAGCTGGACGATTCAATCGCTTTTAAAAAGCGTAACCAGCTATTGATTATTAAAATAAAACTATAATTAGCCTTTGGATTTTATTTTACTACATATATTCGTCAAGAGTGATAAAATCTAAAAGAGTTATAATGTTATGATTGTAATATAAAGTAACGTGCTCCGACAAAACCAACTTTAGGTTCAAAAATTAAATTTTACAGGAGAGTAACATACTATAATTTTAAGAACTTTATACCCAATGAAATGTTACTACCAATAGCTTAATAGTATTACAACAATTAAAATAGTTTGAGCTGTCAACAAAGTTGGTGATGTTCGTGATTTTAGGTAGACCGCATACGTCTTTTACCTTTAAGGACAAAGATGGCAATATAAAGTGGAACAAGGGTTACTAGATTTTCCTCTTTCATAAAAATTATTCTAATAAATTATTATAAATATAATCTCCTATAACTCTCCATGGGTGTATTCAGGGGAGGGGGACAGTTGCCCCTCCCTGAAAGGCATGAAAAAATAATAATATTGGCATGGACACTACTAAATTGTTAGCCAATTCAATATTCGTCGAAAAGCATTAATAAAAAAGAATGTCCAGAGTATACCCCCTTCTAAAAATGCTTGCTACGCACTGTGACTCCCTCTCACGTACTCCTTGAACTAGCAATATTTTCTTGTAATATTCACTTGTAAACTGTTCTTGTTATATGGGAAGCACCATTCATGCATAAAACAAGAGTCATAATGGCATTATTTTAATTAAAGGTTGTAATAAATAAATAAAACCGTACGAGGGAGTGCCAAAATATTGGTAAAAGCAATAATTTAAAATACTATTGATGACGTGTGGTTAAATCGTCATGCTACATATAACTAATGAAAAAACATAAGAGTATTGCATGTCGTTTAAAGGGAGTGCTCTAATTAATTAGAGGATAATTAAAAAAAGATTGAAATACGTGCAGGAAATGTTTAGTAAAAGCATTGAACAACGGTAAAAGTTAAATATGTTTATGAAACGAAAATTATCATAAAATCAAATTATCCATCTTATAAATATGCTTAGAAAACCGAAAATGTTCCTTTAAAATATGTATCAATTTTTGTATACAGTGTCGTAGTTTTAAAATTAAATTTCATTTAAACGTTCTGTATTAAAAAAATTAAATACAGTTTTAATGTTTGTTTTGTAATTTTAAAGC